GGGAGACGAAGCAGTCAGCGTGGAGAGGTGAGTAGACCCTTGGTCCATTCGGCTGCCGATTTGCGCCACTGTGGAGGTAAGCCTGTTGAGCGTCTCCATTACCTCGTTTAAGGCTGCCTCATGCTGCCCCACTCGACTCCCTTAGGATTAAAGTGCCAGTCTGAATTTCTCCACGGCTCTCTGCGGGGTCCATGTGATGGCCAGATTATTCAGGGAACAGACACGTCATACCCAGCATCATTTCTGCCAGTTGAGCGCATTGCTAGAAGATGTGTGGTTAATACATCCTCTGTGCATTTAAGCAAGACCAAAGAAAAGGTCACTGTAGTCCTGCCACTTTGCACTGTAGTTGAGCTCTAGGAGACTGTGATCTCTGCAGACCCCTCATTCTGATTCAAATGTTGTTTGCATGGAATGCTCATTATACCTTGATTAAAACTCATCTTTTAAAGAAGTTATTTTGTGTATCTTTTTAACATAACATTTGCTATTGCTAATGGCGTACACAGTAATCTAGCATATTTGAATTAAATAAATCAATTCAAGCTAAAATGTAAGAGTCTATAATTAGGCTACTGAGCCTGATCTATTTGTACCAGACATTTTCTTACCTTTTAAAAAAATGTCACCTGGGCTAAAACTGCCTCTGTGACCCTGATTTGCATTTGTATAGCTCACAGCATTTTCATTTACATGTCAAAGCCTCCCCTAGAATTAGGAGGAGGGGGGTCATGGGGGGACAACTGGAGGCCCACATCAATTTTTGACAATTTACGGCAGTTTTCGGCGTTGCCCGCAAATTGCCGTAGACCTAAAATTCCACGACAATTTACAGTGCCGCATACTGCCGAAAATCCCACTTTTCATGCAGTGTACTTCAAGCTGAACTCATGCAGCTATTTGTTATAAGCGTGTATTCATTTCTTCTTAATCTCATAACATATTTATTACAACTCCAACAGCGCTTAGCGTCAGAGTTCTGCAGTCGGGGTGGTGGTACCCCTCTTCAAAAAGGGGGACCAGGGAGTGTGTGCCAATTACAGAGTCACACTACTCAGCCTCCCGGGTAAAGTCTACTCCAAGGTGCTGGAAAGGAGGGTTTGCTTGATAGTCGAACCAAGGATTGAAGAGGAACAATGCGGTTTTCGTCCTGGTCGTGGAACGACGGACCAGCTCTTTACTCTTTCCAGGATCATGGAGGGGGTTTGGGAGTATGCTCATCCAGTCTACATGTGTTTTGTGGACTTGGAGAAGGCGTATTACCGGGTCCCCCGAGTGAAAAATGTGGGAGGTGCTGCGGGAGTACGGGGCGAGGGGGTCCTTGATTGGGGCCATACAATATTTCTACGCCCAAACCGAGCGCTGTGCTCGGGGTGCCTGGCAGTAAGTCGAAGGCTTTTCCGGTGGGGGGTTGGGCCTTCGCCAAGGGCTGCGCCTTGTCACCAATGTTGTTTGTGGTCTTCATGGACAGGATTTGAGGCGTAGTCGGGGGGAGGAGGGTCTACAGTTTGGGGGGCTGTGGATCTCATCGCTGCTTTTTGCAGATGATGTGGTCCTGATAGCATCTTCTGTCTGTGACCTGGAACTCTCACTGGAGCCTTTCGCAGTTGAGTGTGAAGCGGTCGGAATGAGGATTTGCACATCTAAATCTGATGCCATGGTTGGCAGCAGGAAACCGAGTAGTTGCCTAATCCAGGAAGGAGTTTAAGGGGGGGGTGGTCATCTGGCCGGGCAGCATTTCTGAGATCAGAGTGAGACACAGAGAAAAGTTTATGTCGTGAGTGATCTTCGCAAAGAAAACATCTTTGTGTCGAGTCTTGGCCAATCAGCGTTGTCTACAGCGTCTACTTTCCCTCTGTCAGGGATGCGTGGGGAGGCAGGACTCAAACGCAGACGTCAAGTAACAAAAGAAGACTTTAATAGTCAAAAGGCAACAAACAAAAGGCCAGGGGGCAAAAACGCATACAAGTACCAGGCGAAAAAGGCAGGCAGGAACTCGGAATATCCAGGACGATAGACAATGACACGACAAGTGACGCGACAAGTGACACAAGAGACACACTGCTTAAAAACACTAGGGAGGTGCAGGTGATTCGACACAGGTGGAAACGATCAGACAATCACAGACCATGACAGGACAAGGCAGGAAGTGAAGTTACCCAGGGAGACAAGAAGCAGAAAACTACAAAATAAGACAGGAAATAAAACCACATAGTGACACCCTCCAACTTTTCATCTTTTCATCCCCTTTGTTTCGTTAATCTAAAGCTAGCATGTCAGCTTGATATGACATTAGCTAACGGTCTGGTTCAGTTAACGCAGTCACTTTTTAAACTCAAATTGGAATGAAGTAAATCACGTAGTTTGACTTAGACAACAACGTGATTTCGTGGTCATAAGAGGCCCAGATATTGATAAGATAATGTGGTACGTTTCAGAATGAAAGAGTTGAAGTGAGAGGATGCAATATATGTAGCGCAGCTCGATGCAGGGCTGAGATGCAAGTGGAGCTGGGCCTGGCTGAAGGTGGAGGTCAAAACAGACGTTAGAGGAGTGCAGTACAGCTTCCCATGGTCCCAGTATTTTATCAAAATTGATAAAGCAGGGTATACGAAATGCAGCCTGTGCTCCAAGGAGATCAACTACAGTAAGAAGGGCTCACATGCCCTCTCATCACACTGCCAGACAGAAGTGCACCGGCAAAAGGTTTTAACTAATAATGACCACATCCAGTGTACTTCCAGTCCCTTGCTGTGTTCAAAAATGAAGAAACGCCGGACGACAGAGAGCTTCGCTGATGGAAACATTAAAATCAAATGTATTTAATGAAGGAGATGGTGTTGTGGTAAAAAGAACATCTCAGCTGAGGAGCCGCTGGTCTTTGCAACCAATAGGCCCCAGGTCAGTCATTTTGACCCATCCCAAGTGCCCATCTGTTGCCTCCACCAGCGAACTCGAGAACAATGGTTGCCTACAGGTATTTATACCAATGCTTCAAGCTGTGAAAGTTAGTGTCCACACCTGGTCGTCTGGTGAGTTCAATGTAACTCGGATTTCGAATGGCCCTTAGTCAATATCAGTTGTTGTGTATAAGTATTACATGCATGCATTCCAGTTAATTACATTACATTAAATACAATCATAACTGTACATTGGTATTATTCTACAGTATTACAGTTGCAGAATTACAGTGGTTTTACAATATTGTCATTACTTTATTGATTACACAGTTTCAGAATCATGGCTGTATTCTGGTGTACACTATATGCATTTTATTAATTTTATGATCTGTGCTGTCAGCTTATTTCTAATATCCTACAATCCATCCCTTTACACCAATTTTGGTGTAAAAACTCAACAGGGGTTCATCAAATTGCTCAGTTTTGTCAGATGTGTCGTCTCTGTTTCTGAATAGGGGCATAATTTATTTAAGCATAATCTGACACAATATGATACGCTTGATCTTACACATTCCAATCATAAGATGTGCATCTGGACACACCTTGTTAACTTATACCTGGCACAGAACAAAAACTCCCTTAAAAAGCCTTTTGGGAATAAAACGAGTACATTGTACATTGGTATTATTCTATTACAGTTGAAGAATTACAGTGGTTTTACAATATTGTCCTTACATTATTGATTACACAGTTTCAGAATCATGGCGGTATTCTGGTGTACACTATATGCATTTTATTAATTTTTTGAACCTGTCAGTTTATTTCTAATATCCTACACCCTACAGTCCCTACAGTCACAAGAACAGTTGCTCCCAAGGGCCCTGAAGGAATGAGAGAGAGAGTTAAAGGGGCCTGTCCCTTCATTTCAACGGATTGCAAATGTAAAGGTGTGTACTAGATTGGAAGCTTGCAGTTAAATCACAGCTGTTATTTCACTCTTGATAAACTACCTTAGATTAGACCAGATTAGATTATCATTTTAATTTCACTGGATTGAATGCATATTAATTGTGAATAGAAGATAGGTCACAATTCTAACAGCTGCACAGTAATAGTGGAAGTCCATTAATATGTTTTACCAGTGAAAACAAATCACTTTTTTTTTTGTATAGGCGATGGTTCTCGCTACTCTAGCGGAACATTCCCTGCCATTTACCTTTGCCCCTGTGATGGTGAAGCTGGCTCAGGCGCTAGCTTCAGACAAGTTAGCGCTGAGTGGAGTAAAGCTTTCACGCAAGACTGCAAGAAAAAGGCACATGGCTAAGCAGCGCAAACGAGTACTTGAAGGACTTGTTCAGGCCAATAAAAAGTTGGTTCATGATTAACTTCAACTTTATTGTGTGTATATATTGTGTGTATATAGTACAAATGTATATTTGTTATTATTTTTTAAACCTAATTGTTCTTATTGCGCCTTATTTGCGAAATGGTGTCACCTTTTTCACCCCTCATTGTTTTTGCAGCTATGATATATATATATATATATATAAATATACCAGATAAGGTACACAATGGACAAACGATGATTAAAAAAACTATATGCTGTAAATATAATCACAAAATGAAGATATCTGTATTTGTCACGAGTCCATCAATAATTATATGTATTCATTGTACAATAATGTCAAAAATAAAAGGTACAGAAATTTTTTGGATCATGTAGTAACTAGAACATTTATTTACATTCAGCCTCTACTGGACTTATTCATTCGCAGATACCTCACCCTGAAATGCACTGACAGAGAGACAGTCTAATACTCTGGATTAAGTGTCAGATCACAACATTGCCGCACATATCATATTTTGACACTTTTTATTTATCTCATCGGTTTTGTGCTGTGTTTCCCTCCAAGGGTTTATCTCATGCTCATTTTAGAGCTATTATACACTTCAAACATAAACTTGAAGACAAAAGTAATGTAACTAATATCAAACTGACAAAAGAATGCTTACACTGTGGTTATCTGTTCAACTTGATCATTGCAGGTAGGACAACCACAGTATATTGCTCAGTGAAGATCATGGCATTAGGAAATGAAAAATTATCTGTTCATGATTGTTTTAGAAAAAAGTCTTTAAAAGTATCTGTATTAGGAAAAGAAAACAATGACAGTCATCAGTGTGAAGACACTACACCATTCAGCAGAAGAGCCTTTTAAGGTGATCATAAATCCTCGTAATTGTTAGTCCATAAATGATTGGATTAAAAAGGGGGTGATATATTACAGCTTGTAAAGTCATTATTAAACCTACAATTTTGGGCGAATTGAGTTCCAGTCGAAGAAGAAGTACATCATATGCAGTTAAACAGGAAAAGTTGATTAGAACCAGCAGATGGGGTAAACAGGTCTGTGCAGCTCTTCTCCTGACTCCTCTACATCGATACAATACTACAAGTATCCTGCTGTATGTGAAGAGTATAAAGAGAACAGGGAGAATTAAAACAGTAACCAAATTAACCAAGCCATATATATTCAGTGTTCTTGATCTAACACAGTGAAGTGTTTGAACTGTGCTGTTGCAAAGTATTCCTTTCAAATTAAATGTACAGATTTCTTTTTTAGCAATTAGTAATAGTCCTACTGACAACAAACAAGCAGGCAGAACCCAAGCCGAAATAAGAAAGATGTTAACAGTTTTTTTTTGCATGATGGTTGTATATTTCAGAGGGTTACATATGGACACATATCTGTCATAGGCCATGATGGACAAGAGCAAGATATCTGAAGCAGCTAACCAGTAATATGAAAACCACTGGAAGAGACATGCTGGATAAGATATGATCTGTTTTTCTGATAAGAAGTCAATCAAAAGCTTTGGGTAGATAATAGTGCTGAAAAGAACAGAGTTGATTAACAAAGCTGCAATGAAAATGTACATTGGCTCATGCAGGTTTTTGTGAATCATTATGATGCACACAATTATGACATTACAGCTAATTATTAAAATATACATCGTAAACATGATCACAAAATAAAGATATCTATATTTTTGCACTTCCACATGCCCACCAAAAGTTATGTATGTCACATTTGATCTATAATCCATTGATAATGTATGCAGTGAGATGATAACAAACAATCTTAATATGACGTAAACAGCACTAGATTGTCTCTCAGTCTTCAGTACCTGACCTTGATATGCTCTGGTGTGATCCAGCAAACACACGGACTGAAAAGTGATCTGTGAGAGTCGGTGGGGGGGTTATTACTACTTCATCCTCCATGGATCTGATTGAACTCTCCAATGGATGAACTTTGTAAACAACTTGATTCTAGATGCCTGATGCCATAGATATTTTGTTCAACCAAGTAAAGAAACATTTAATCACACGATTCAAGTTACTCCATATATCTTGTAAAAGTAGCACCCTGGTAAAAACACATGCCAAGAAAGTGTTTTTCCATGTCTTTCATCTTGAATTTTGCTTTGAGCGTCGATGCTGTTTGTTTTTTGTTGTTTTTGTTATTTCTGTATTCGGGTGGCATTCCCAGAGATCTTTCGCTAGAGATGAGCTCATGAACATCTGAGGAACTTCCAACTTCTCTTCTTTCTTCGGAGGAATTACTGGACATTCTAGTCAAAGGTGCGCTCACCTTTACTCACGTGGTGAGACGCCGTAGGACAGAAAAACAGGCTTACTCAATTAGGCTTCATTCAACAGTAATTAACGAGCCAACAGTTGACATGAAAATACAGCAACCGCAGAAATCTGCCTTTTTTCAGGGGGGTATTCCAGAAAGCGGGTACTGTGAAAACTAAGTTAAAAGTAAGTTAACCCTGAGATCAGGGAAAGTTATCCGGTCCAGATAGAGAGGTGTTGTCACGGTTTGGGTTAATGTCTGGTTTTCTTTTGTAGTTTCTTGCCTCTGTTTTCCCTGGGTCATGTCACTTCCTGCCTTGTCCTGTCCTCCTCTGTGATTGTCTGTCATGTCATGATTGTTTCCACCTATGTGAGAATTAGGAGGGGGGGGGGGCAAGGCACTGCATGAAAAGTGGGATTTTCGGCAGTATGCGGCACTGTAAATTGTCGTGGAATTTCAGGTTTGCGGCAATTTGCGGGCAACGCCGAAAACTACCGTAAATTGTCAGAAATTGACGTGGACCTCCCTTGGCAGTTGTCCCCCCATGACCCCCTCCTCCTATTTCTAGGGGAGGCTTTGACATGTAAATGAAAATGCTGTGAGCTATACAAATGCAAATCAGGGTCGCAGAGGGAGTTTTAGCCCAGGTGACATTTTTTTAAAAGGTAAGAAAATCTCTGGTACAAATAGATCAGGCTCAGTAGCCTAATTATATACTCTTACATTTTGGCTTGAATTGATTTATTTAATTCAAATATGCTAGATTACTGTGTACGCCATTAGCAATAAAATGTTATGTAAAAAAGATACACAAAATAACTTCTTTAAAAAATTTGTTTTAATCAAGGTAAAATGAGCATTCCATGCAAACAACATTCGAATCAGCATGAGGGGTCTGCAGAGATCACAGTCTCCTAGAGCTCAACTACAGTGCATAGTGGCAGGACTTCAGTGACCTTTTCTTTGGTCTTACTTAAATGCACAGAGGATGTATTAACCACACATCTTCTAGCAATGCGCTCAACTGGCAGAAATGATGCTGGGTATGACGTATCTGTTCCCTGCAAACCCCAAACTTCTATTGGCTTTCCATAAAAATGTCTGTCCGGGTGAGGATGAAGCCAGGAAACTTGTGCAAGAACATGTTTAAATGCCGTACCCTTTGACACAACATTAACAACTATAAACTGCTTTATAATGGCTGGTCGTAGTTCTGCTAGAGGGTCAAGGACGGGTTCCTCAAAACTGTAAGTGTTTCCACACCACTTAGCATAAACATATGCTGACCTTTATGCTCTGCATCTATCGATTGAGTAAGTTACATTCATATATATGAATGATACATTGTCAACATTGCATGTATGTCAGACTCATCCCAGATTGTCTGGTGGAATGGAGAAAGATGCACCACTGTACAGATTTCTAAGGAAAGTCGTTCTGCTGACACCAAAACACTGCTTTACATAAAGCATATCAGCTGTTTCAAAGTCCCAACCATTTGTCTTCCTAAAATACTGGTCCTTCCGTATAACAATAACCTTGTATGTGATTGGAGGACCCTTAGACTCCTCGTCCAATCACGTGTGAGGCTCGTGTGCAAGACGAGCATACAAACAGACACGTGTGTGTCTTACTATATTCAGAAGAACTGTATCTCCAGTTCCTTTGTTTGGTTTTTGCTGCTTCGTGAATAATGGCTGGACGACGTCTCGCGTTCAACTCGCCTTCAACTCCTCTCCGCGGTCACCAACTTTCGGCCAGTCTGCAGACAGACGAGAAGAAGCTGCTGAATGCTCTCAGTGGATCGTCTCGTTAACTCCAACAACAAACTTCCCATATCAACGAGCGGTTCGCTCCACTGGAGCGTTCGGGACTCTGCGGGTTTCTGTCCATAGAGGAGAGGAACCGACTCAAAGAAGAGGAGACGGGCGCACGATCCCACGGTAGGGCAAGAATACGTTCGATGACTGCAGGCTAAGCTAAGAGTAGCGTAGCCTCAAGCTAAGCTAAGAGTAGCCTAGTAGCCTTACAAGTGAGCAGAAACAGCTTTATTAAAGTGTATTTTCTTTGCCGTGTTGTTTACAGGAAGCGCTGCGCCGTCTTCACAACTCCGAGACGAACTACAGGCGCCACGAACCGGAGCAAGGGTCAGATTTAAAGAATATGCTTTCATTCTGCGGTATAAGGAAATATATACGTATAGATACCGATCATAACTGTACATTTTGTTTTCACAGACTAATCTCGCCTCATAATGAGGCGGTGACCTCGTATTTGCTCTGGGAAAAATCCAGATTTAGACGACGCCATTGTGTCTAAGTGACGCTGTTTCTCCTTCCTTGTTAAATGTTACTGTGACTTGCGTTTGACTTTCTTTTTGTATTCATACCACACTCATTTAATTGTTTTCCAGCCGCCTGTGAGACGTATTTTGAGACGGGACGCAGGAGCTTCAGGTTCGGCCGGAACACTCAATGCGGGCTGAAGCTGTGAAGGATTCAGCGCGGAGTCAAGCGAGAAGAAAGAGGGTCAGAGTTTATTTGCTGACTTGTTTCAGGTGCATTGATCGACGTGTTGTGTCCTTACGCATCGCACAGTACTGATTCATTGTTGTTTTTACAGCTGCTGGAATCGAGACAAAGTGCGCTGGCTGATGACGAGGTGGAACCCTGGAGTTCCGCCACCGTGGAGCTCACGTCGGACGGAGGGGACGGCGTTGTTGGCGGGGTCTCGGGGTGGATTGTACGGTCGCCACACGCACACGAGCCGCCTGCACAACAGACCTGCCTCGGAAAACACGGCGCCAGTGACGGTCTACAACCCCGAGGAGGCAAACGGACAGTTTACTGAGCTGAAGTTTTTAAACCGCCGTTACCCAAGTGCGGGCAGATCCTAACTTTGTATGTAGTTGTTGTTTGTGTGTTGTTAATAAAGCTTTTTCTTTGCATAAACATGTGGCAAATGTTCATTTTCTCTCTAAATTCATTGATGTCCTGGTTGGTATCCTAATAATAGTGTAGTAGCCTACATAGGATAACCATGAAATGAATATACATCATAATATGAATATATAAATAAAATGAGGCGGGTGACCAATAGCGACAGATCTGCCAACCAATCACGAGTGATTGAAAGTTGTTTTCATCCAATCATGAACAAGGAAACTCAAGCGTGGTCTGCCCACGTGTGGTTTTGCTGCCAATCACGAGTGATTTTATTTGTTAGTAAGTTGTGGTTTCATCCAATAAGGAGTAAGGGTATTCAAGCCCGCTCGGCTTGGCCACCCGCGGTTTTGCTGCATTCATATGCTAATTCGGGCCATTCGCACCTCCGCCAGCTCTCCCCCTACGTCATGGTTCGTTTCCGACAATTTGTGGCACAGACAAACGCGACGTGCGCGGGTTGCAAATTGTCGGAAATTAGGGAGATTTCCGGGCGTTTACGGGGACGAAAATCTCACTTTTCATGCAGTGAGGGGAGACAACTGGAGGCCCACATCAATTTCTGACAATTTACGGCAGTTTTCGGCGTTGCCCGCAAATTGCCGTAAACCTAAAATTCCACGACAATTTACAGTGCCGCATACTGCCGAAAATCCCACTTTTCATGCAGTGTACTTCAAGCTGAACTTATGCAGCTATTTGTTGAAGCATGTATTCATTTCTTCTTAATCTCATAACATATTTATTACAACTCCAACAGCAACAGTGCTTAGCGTCAGAGTTCTGCAGTCGGGGTGGTGGTACCCCTCTTCAAAAAGGGGGACCAGGGAGTGTGTGCCAATTACAGAGTCACACTACTCAGCCTCCCGGGTAAAGTCTACTCCAAGGTGCTGGAAAGGAGGGTTTGCTTGATAGTCGAACCAAGGATTGAAGAGGAACAATGCGGTTTTCGTCCTGGTCGTGGAACGACGGACCAGCTCTTTACTCTTTCCAGGATCATGGAGGGGGTTTGGGAGTATGCTTATCCAGTCTACATGTGTTTTGTGGACTTGGAGAGGGCGCATTACCGGGTCCCCCGAGTGAAAAATGTGGGAGGTGCTGCGGGAGTACGGGGCGAGGGGGTCCTTGATTGGGGCCATACAATATTTCTACGCCCAAACCGAGCGCTGTGTTCGGGTGCTTGGCAGTAAGTCGAAGGCTTTTCCGGTGGGGGTTGGCCTTCGCCAGGGCTGCGCCTTGTCACCAATGTTGTTTGTGGTCTTCATGGACAGGATATTGAGGCGTAGTCGGGGGGAGGAGGGTCTACAGTTTGGGGGGCTGTGGATCTCATCGCTGCTTTTTGCAGATGATGTGGTCCTGATAGCATCTTCTGTCTGTGACCTGGAACTCTCACTGGAGCCTTTCGCAGTTGAGTGTGAAGCGGTCGGAATGAGGATTTGCACATCTAAATCTGATGCCATGGTTCGCAGCAGGAAACCGAGTAGTTGCCTAATCCAGGAAGGAGTTTAAGGGGGGGGTGGTC